AACTTGTTGCCTGAAGCAAAGATCAGATTGGAACTGTATCAATCCAGAGGTGCAAAAGGCTATCATTAGATTACCTGTTGTGGAAAGGCATGAATGAGGAATTTTAAGGCGTTCTTCTTTGGATTGGCCAAGTACTGTATATACATCCAACGGCTTCTATCTATACTCTGGCTAAACCTTTTTGATTCCCGGCATGGCAAAAGTTGTTTAAGTTACACCTCTGGTTGGGTTCTCGATACAGGGAAGTAAGTTTTGTTTGTAGGCTTGGATATTCAGAACTCCAATTCCTCTTGTTGGTGGTATAGTTTTTGGGAGATTAGCATTGTACTCTCTTTCGCCTAATGATGTATCGTGTATATTGCATTTCACTCATCAATCTGAAAAAAATTCTTAAATCCAAGACCATAATATTATTTTCGTGCACTGGCCCCCATGGGTTTCTTTGACTCTTTCTTGTAGGTATCGTTTGAATTCAGAAATTTGCTAATTTTGTTTTATGTCCACTTGTTGACTATGCACAACACCCCCCCCCACATTCCTTTATGTTTCATGCTCAGTTGGAGGTCGTGATCTTCACATTGTTGACTCATTCATCAGAGAAGTTTTCTTATAACTGAGTGTAAATTTTTCCTTGCATCTGACCTCATGCTCGCTTGACTGTTTCTTGTAAGTAGCATCTGAAAAAGAAGGTTGCAGTTATGTTCTACCGTTCAGTTCTTGACAATGTGCCTCATTCCTTTATGCTTAAGGTGTAATATGAGGTTCTAATCCTGTCCGTTCACTAGTCAACAGTATACTTTACCACATGTTCAGTTTTCCAACTGCCAGTCTCATGTTCTAATGTACTTGTGTCTTTGGATTGTCTGGGGTGGTGAAACTGAACAGTTGAAAATGCCATTTGTAAAAAATGTCGAGAAGTCTAGCATTGTCTGGTTCTTGTCATGCAGGTCACTCCATATCCAGTACAAGAACAGTAATTTTGCTTCAAAACCTTCATGTAAGATTGACCTGTGATGTATGCCTAGTATTTTGCTACCTTTAAGGTGCCCCATTGTTTCTCCAGACCCCCCAAAAAAGTGGTCAGTTTCTTGTTATGTGATGTGACCTTTTGATCAATTATCACTGACAAAAAGGTCTCAGCAAGGACCAGCTGATCTTCTGTAATTTTCTGTTTCCCTATGATTGGTCCATCGTTCCAAGATAGCATGAACTTTTTCGGTGCATGAAACATGTTCAGGTATTTCTCCTTTTCCGTATCTTTTTTGTGCACTCATCTGCTTTGGATCTCAATCTGATTCCATAATCCAGCCTTTATCTTTTCCTCCCTATGCAGGTCAGGTCCTCTGTTGTCCACAGTAGCAGATGGTCCTGCGGCAGGAACTGGACGTGAATCAGTGCATGTAGCGTGACCACCATGTGGAGCTCTTCCGTTCTTTACAGTACCAATATCTGGCCTGTTTCCTGATTTGGTTGTTTCCTGTTTTCCTTTGGACCCGTCACTGCCAATTCACTATTCGGATCGGTGGGGTGGTGGTTGTGTTCTTGAATGGTTTTCCTTTCATTTGCTTCGAGGCTTGCTGTTTGACCGATATATCTTGTGTGCAGAGGAGGCCAATTGTCAAAACTGCGCCTCCTCTGAATATTGTATCTAGGGAACTGTCGTATGCAAAGCACCAAAAGATGTAAAGTGGACAATACTTGGGCCGGTGTGAAGAAGCTGCAATGCGGGCTTCCTTTTACGTGGACCGCTCAATGGGCCTGGGCGTGTTCGAGTCGGAGTTTTTGTTTGAAATGCTATCGTGCCAACCATCTCTCGAGGGAGGAGGAAAAAGCCAGCATGCCGGTAAATAGGAACGTCCAACTTGGTTTTCGATTTTCGAAGACTAAATATTCTATATTCTTGATTTCTCGCTAGTCAGCGACGGAGAGCGAGGATAGCTCTCTAGACTGCACATAAGATAGAAAAGTTATTGAAGAATACAAAAATATAAAAAACATTTTTTACTCAAATGACTCTCTAAATGATGATTTAGATAGTAAATTTTAAAAAGCTCTTGGAGATGCTCTAAGGTCCTGTCTAACTAATAGCTCATAGCTAATATTAGCTAGCTAAGTATGAGCTGTTTGTTAGTTGACCTAGCTAGTAAAATAGTTGTTAGGTGGATAACAATTAGGCCTCCTTTGGAATGGAGGAAAAACAAAGAATTGGATTCCTGTAGCAGCCTTTGGTTTGTAGGAATTACTAAAAGATTTTTTCTAAATATAACTTTCCTTTCCCTTTAATTCCATAGAAAAACTATAGAAAAAACAATCTCATGGAAAAATTCCTATACACAAGGAACAAGACAAAACAATGGATTTACAGGAACAACTTGTGTGTCTAATAAAGGGAGTGGAATGAAATAATTAGGTTGATTAAGAAATCAAGTTCTATTTACTCCTAAGCTTAGAGTTTCAACGTAAACATGGATTAAAAAAAGTAAAATCTAGATTCATAACATCACACATAGACTACAACAAGAGGCGATATAACCTAAGCTAAAGTCTCAACTAAGTAACATTGAAGGCACACGGAAGTGAAAGGTGAGATGCAAAGAGGAAAAAATTATGAATACAAATAAAAAAAAGTAGAGCAATTGATAAATAAATTGACCACAATGGTCAACTATGAAGATCACATATCATCTACATTTTTTTAGAGCGAGTTTTTTCATAAGAGATGTAAGATGTAAGACTCCAACACTCCTATGAACCAAATTATCTTGTTTAAGGACACCGATACCCATACGAGCCAAAAAGGACTCCGACACCCATACGAGCCAAAATACTAATGCGAAACATTTTTTTTTAATTATTTTTAATCAATATTTTAATAATAACCGCTCCAAAAAATATTTTCAGATCTAACCTCTGCTGGCGCGACCAAACAATGATGTCGTGCCAACGCATGTGGCGCAACAACATCTACCATGTTGGATGGCGTTTCCGACGTGGAAAAGCTTGTCGCGCCACTCCCGATGGCGGGACAGTATTGTCTTGTCACGCAACCGGGAGTGGCATGACGAGAGTAAATTTTCGAAAAATCATAACTTTTCCATACGACGTTGGATGAAGATGATTTTTATATGAAAATTATAGATCTCGACGAGATCTATAACTCTCTAGTTTTGAGTTTTTTCGTTTGAGGATATTAAGATGTTCAAAAAAATAATATAAAATTTCAGCACCATAATAATCGCGTACCAGCGCTTGCCGCATTTAAAAAATAATATCTTTTTTGTATAGTGTCAAATGAAGATATATTTTATATCAAAGTTGTAGCCCTTAAGGAGATCTACAAGTTTATAGTTTTGAGTTATTATATTTGAGGTCGTTAACATACTCTAATAACTAATATAATGTTTTAGCTGCATATTAATCGTGTATCAAAACTTATCTTTTTCGAAAATCGTATATTTCTTATTTAATGTCACATAAAACTACTTTTTAAAAAAAAGTTGTAGATCTTATTGGAAGCTCCAATATTGATATAAAAAGTACCTTCATTTGACATGATACAAAAACGATATTATTTTTCTAATACGACAAACGCTAGTACACGATTATTATGCTACTGAAATTTTATATTATTTTTTTGAGTATCTTAAAGACTCAAAATATTAAAACTTAAAACTACAAAGTTGTAGATCTCATTGAAAGCTACAACTTTTATGTAAAAAATATCTTCATTTAATAACATACAGAAACTATATTATTTTTCTAATGCGACAAGTACTTGTACGCGGTTATTATGTTTTTGAAATTTTATATTATTTTTTTAGCATCTTAACTACTCCAAATGTTAAAACTCAAAACTACAAAGTTGCAGATCTTATTGAGCGCTACAACTTTCATAAAAAAATATCTTCATTTGACAACATACAGAAACGATATTATTTTTCTAATACGACAAGTACTAGTACACGGTTATTATGCTCCTGAAATTTTATATTATTTTTTTGAGGATCTTAACGTTCTCAAATGAAAAAACTCAAAACTACAAAGTCGTAGATCTCATCGAGAAATACAATTTTTATATAAATCTCATCTTCATCCGATGTCGTATCAAAAGAGTTATGATTTTTCAAAGATTTGGTCTTGTCACGTCACTCCCGATGGCACAACAGAACAATACTGTCACGCCAGTGGGAGTGGCGTGACAACGTTTTCTACGTCTGAAACGCCGTCTAACGTGGCGGATGTTGCCGCGCCATTGCATGTGGCGTTACAACGGCGCGACCAAAATGGTTAGATCTGCAAAAAAAAAAAATAGAAGCGATTATTATTAAAATATTGAATAAAAAAGAATAAAAAATAAAAAAAAATCCCGTGTGGGGTGTCGAATGCCTCGAGCAAGACTGCTTCTCCACGCATAGGCCATGCTCATCTCCTCTAGATCCACGATGCCGCTGTTCCGTCCCCCCATTTCAATGCCTTCGCTTCAAGCTTCTGTAAAGACGGGTAGATCGGTAATCTGTAATTATGCATGCTTGCTACCGGGTTTATCTTTAATCTTCCCCTCCGGCATTTCATCAGTTGCAATCTTGCATATCGGGTGTGCACATGAGATGCAATCTTGCAAACCACGTGGAGGCCTCCGATTGGGAGCCTCACACTCGAACGTTGTGCTTGTGCCAGCTGCATAAGGGTGGGCCAGTGGCAGAGGCGCCACGAGACAGCACTGTCCGATCGATGCAGCCACCAGCCATGCAGCACTGCAGCAGCCACCCATATTGATATTGGTTGACGAGAACAGGACAACCTGTTGACCGAACACTGCGTCACTGAACCCCCTACACGCGCCACCGTCCATCACGAGCTTCCATGTCCAAGCCCTGAAGCCCTGCTCTTATAAGTCGGCACATGATTGCATCGACCCCGCCTACAAACTCCAAACAAATCAAGAACGAAGCACCGAGCAACCGTCTCCTCTGATCTAGCGAGCACTCCAGCTTTCCACAATGGCGATCCATCTGATGCTTCCCATTTCTATCCTTCTCAGCTCACTCAGGTACGCCGCCGACGCCCTTGATGGTCAGTCACTAGCTTTTGCATGTGTGGCGGCCGATGACACGAAGTATACATACGATCCTTCCTTACAATGCCGTGTTTGCGGTGTTTGCTGCGTTGTGCAGGGGCCATGGTGTCCGTGACGACGTTCACGCTGACCAACTCCTGCGGCTACACGGTGTGGCCGGGGCTGCTGTCGAGCGCTGGCTCGCCGCCGCTGCCCACCACGGGCTTCGCGCTGGCACCGCGGGAGTCGCGCACCGTGGACGCGCCCGCAGCGTGGTCGGGCCGCATATGGGGCCGCACGCTGTGCGCCGCGGACGACCAGGGCTCCGGCCGGTTCGCCTGCGCCACGGGCGAGTGCGGGTCGGGGACGGTGGAGTGCGCGGGCGGCGGGGCCGCGCCGCCCACCACGCTCGCGGAGTTCACGCTGGACGGCGCCGGCGGGAACGACTTCTACGACGTGAGCCTGGTGGACGGGTCCAACCTGCCGATGGTCGTGGTGCCGCAGGGCGGCGCCTCCGGGCCCACCTGCGGGGCCACGGGGTGCCTGGTGGACCTCAACGGGCCGTGCCCCGCCGACCTCAGGGTGGTGGGCTCCGACGGCGCCGGCATCGCCTGCAAGAGCGCGTACGGGGCGTACGGGCGGACCCAGGACTGCTGCAGCGGCGACTACGGCACCCCCGCGACGTGCCAGCGCTCCGCCAGCTCGCAGTTCTTCAAGAAAGCGTGCCCGCGCGCATACAGCTACGTCTACGACGACGCCACGTCCACCTTTACCTGCACCTCCGGCACCGCCACTTACCTCATCACGTTCTGCCCAAGCATCTCCAGGTAACGAAGCCAACAACCAATAAGATCATGCATTTTGGTATGAATGGAGCAAATGATCGATCAAAGAACATGCATGCACATGATTTAACGTTTATCATTGAAGTCTCAAATGCGTGTGGTTGACACAATCAGCCTGTTCGCTTGTTGTTTCAGCCAGTGTTTATCAGCCAGTTAACAGTGTTTTTCTCTCACAACAAATGGCTTATCAGCCTAGAATCCAACTAGCGAACAGGCCGAATGACAAGTCGTGTCACGTCACGCCCAAGTAAACGTTGCATGCAAACTCACCTCCCTGCCGTTGCCTTGTCTCTAACTCAACTTTTTGTCTGCATTGCACCAGCCTCAAGTCGTCCGTGAGCAGCAGCAGCGGCAGCACGAACCCGGCCGGCCTGCCTCTGGTCAACGACACGGTCTCCTTCGCGGGCCGGGGAGACGGGTCCTCGTACCCGTACGCCTACGCGTCGGCGCCGTCCAGGTCGGCTCCGTGCGCCCTCGCGCTCGCGGCCGCCGCGTTCACGTGGCTCTGCGTCGCCCCGCGCCACCGGCTGCGGTTGTAGAGCAAGCAAGGCCACGCGCCATGGACCGTCCCCCCGCCGCCCCGCGTGCACCGCCCACGCCCAGCGCCGAGGCACAGGGGCACGGCAGCCCTCGTGCAGTGCAGCCGCGCGGGCGCCCATCCCGGTCGGCCTGGACGCTTTGACCTCGGGCCGTATTGCTAATTGTATATATTATTCAGCCTGTTCGTTTGGCTGTGGCTTGTCGTAAACGGTCGTAAATTTTCAGCTGGAATAGTATTTTTCTCTCACACAAACCAGTCAGCAGTACTTCTTCACGAACCAGCAACGAAACGAACCAGTCAACCGAACATGCCGATTATTAGTTTATTTCGGATCGAGGAGCATGATTTCGCTGTACCGGTGCAGACCTGGATTGATTAGTTGGGATTTGGGATAGGAGTGGTCGAATGGAGTGAGTCTGTGAGTGGCATCTTCAGATTCAGATTGAGAACTGAGAATGCAGCAACCAATTCGATTGTATTTGCATCGATTGATTCCTTTTGAGATGGGAGAATAGAACAGAACCAGGTGGATTGGGGCCCTGGGGAAATGTGTAGAGACGACGGGTTGGTGAATCACATTTAGCTTAACTCTTTTCTCACGGTTTCTCAACTCCGAACCCTGAGGTCCTGAAGATCTATCGGATGGTTATTTTTTCTTTTCAGCTTCCCATCTTCTTTGGAAAAAAAAATGGTTCTCGCCATGAGTTGGTACATCGGATACTCCTGGCAAAGGAAGGCTTAATTGTTTAAGCAAGCGCAGGGATGGATCTTGTTGGTTACTGCTTGTTTTGATACCGCCATAGCCAGTTTGTGAAACCTGCTGGCACAGTTGCACGGACTGAGTTATGGCAATCTGATTCAGGCATGATTTTAAGCAATCGGCCAGACTATACAAGTTTGGCAATGGCAGCAGATAAGCCTGCGGCTGCCTGAAAGAGTGAAAGGTGAATGAATGGCTGGGTCCATTTCACTGGAGCATGCACGGTGCACTGTGTCACTGCATCTCCATGCGTATTCATGGCACATGGTAGATTCTGATATCCTGCACAGCGTAGAGCAAAGAGTGTTTGACCATCAGTGAAATCTTGCACACGTAGGGCAAAGAGTGTTTGACCATCGGTGAAGTCCAATAACCATGGACTCTTTCCACTCCTGTATTTGCAAGTGTTGATGCCGATTAAAAATCGTCACGAGTAAAACTTGTTTTTCCAGCCATCTCCCTAGAATATATTTTTCCTATTTAGGTCTCTAGACTTATTCTGGTTCGACCACTCGAGGTCTAAACACTTCAGACCGGTGTTGAATAGCCTACTTAGCATTTTATCAAATCACCCTTCAAAGTATATCAACTTCCTTTTGTGCTACTCTCCCTCATGTGACCATGTTACTGTTGGAAATAAAAGCAATTTAGTGACACATAAAATAATTCTAATACTGAGAAAACGAACAACAACATATATCATAGGTGTGCGATTTAAGCTTAGCACTACGATCCGAGGCAAACTCAAACTCTCTAGTGCAAGTAACAGAAGGAATGCAAGAACAAACAACAGAGAAAGTGTAGGCATTCTTACAGTGGGGTCGTCGACGAAGCAAATGGTTGACGGAGATCCACGAACACCGGCGTAAAGAGAAGAAGACGTTCAACAAGCAGTCGCGATGGCGCTTCCAAAAACCTGATATGGCCCCTACCCCGTGCAGGGACACGAGTGGACGTAGGCTTCGGAGACATGCTCTCCCGGTGCCGATGCCACATCGGCGCATCGGCGACGGGATGGGGAAGACGACGACAGAGCAACACAATGGTAAGAGGAGGAGATGAATTGTGTGTACTGAGGACGACGTCGCATCCCAATACATAAACACGTCGCAGCCACTCCTAGAGTAGCAATGTGGAACTAAAGCCCCCCACCATACCATGCAAGTGTGAGTGGGCCTTTATGATTTATTTAGAATTATTATTTGGGCCAGCCTGAATCTTCTAACGGCTACCATGCCACTTGCCACGTAGGCAAATTTATATGGTGATTAATAATATTTCGAGTTCTAGGGACGCGATTAATAAGTTTAGAATTCTAGGTTTGTCTATTGTTGATAATATATATAGAGATAGAGACCTACTATGTGATGACTCCAAACGAGTTTGAAAAGGCTGGTGCACTTTGCTAAATGAAAATTTGCCGATGATTAACTAAAAAAAGGCAATGCAGACATGCAGTAGCTGTCCCAGATGTAGATGCGAGTGGCCCATTTGCTATTGGGCCTTCTTGGCTCTCAGCGTTCCATGAAAAGGCTTAATATAAAGATCCCAACAATCCTAGGAACTAAATAATGTCTCAGTATTTACCGTCTACAGAAAAATATCTTCCACGTTAATCATCACAAGTCATTCTAGGAAAAAATAATTAATTAGTTAAGATAAAACACCCGGCACTATATTCATCATTGACAACAGTAACCACGAGACTAATTTTCCTTTCTAAAGTTGCCCACTTCCACCCTCTACCATTATGAAGAATAGTCTAAAGAACAAAAAAACGCGAGCCGCGGGGGAGTGACATCCCCACCGGGTTTTCATTAAGAAGAAGAATTTCTCACGCAGTTCGTGAAAAAAAACACCGAATCCCGGTGTCGACAAAAGATGCTCGACAGTCCTCCGAGGGGTATCCCACGAAGGTAAATTGATCGGTGGAGGTGCGCGTGATCAGGAACCGGATGGTGACACAAGGCGTAGAGACAGCGATTTAGACAGGTTCGGGCCGTCTGATCGACGTAATACCCTACGTCCTGTGTCTTTGGTGTATTGTATTGAGATGTAGTAGCTGTCCATTAGGGGACCCCTGCCTCTCCTTATATACTCTAGAGGGGTAGGATTATAAGGAAAGTATCATATTTGGTACTATACAATATCTTGCGGTGCACGTTGACCAGTGCCGTGCACGCCTTGATCTTGTGGGCTGGGCCACCTCTGATGGTGCGGCCCATGTCTTGTCTTTTGGATCTCGGGAGCCATACCCCCACAGTTAGTCTCCGAGCCTGACAGTAGGTGACGTAGTCGCGTGGTGCCAGGATTAGAAAGTAGAAGAAAGGCAGAAGACCGGCCGAGTAGGCAACCAGTCCACGGGCGGAGCCCTAAATTGAAAAACGCACATTCATCGCAAGGTGAAGTGTGCCCACTTAGTCCCCAAGCCTGCTGGAAGATGAATGAATCTTGTAGCAAGGTCAAAGAAAAAGAAGTCCGAAAGCTTGCCGACGTCGTCTGACATGTGCGTATCAAGACCCCAGACGTGCTGCCCAAAATCAACACCCTGATCCGAACAGCATGGAGCAGCTTGATAGCACACCGATGAGGCGTAGCAAGATCCAACCATCAAGGGAGTCCCCGGCGTAGCTGGCAACGTCCGAGCACCGAGGAGTCTCTAGCATAGCTGGCGATGTCCGAGCACCGAGGAGTTCCCGGCGTAGCTGGCGATGAAGTTCATGAACCTAGCGGTTCGACCAGTTGATCGGTGGAGAAGTCCGAGCACCAGGTGGTCCGATCACCTGGACGATGATCCTGCAATACAAATATGTAGAACGGGTAGCACATGATGTAAAAATATATAAACTCCGAAGAAAAATCAGCAATGGTGATGAAATAGCGTATGTAGCTCGACGATCAGTTGGTGTGAAGATGTATTTATATTTAATATAAACCGCCCGACTAGTTAGTGTGTAGCTGAGTCTTCAGCCCTAACTAGTCCGTTAATCATAACGCGGAGCGCGGAGCTCGTGTGCGTGTAAGAAGAACAAAGCGTTGCTAAGGAGTCGCTGCCGACCACCCATAACGTAGAGGGTAGACGCTCGTGCACGTGTAGGGAGGAGCCAGAGACAGGGCCGTCTCTGGGGATATCCGAGCATCAACATAACTGTTCTAGGGTTCAGAAAATCGTTTGGAGAGCAAACATGGAGAAAACAGCTCTGAGAAACATTATGGCGATATACGAAGATTGGAGAATATTTAGAAAAATATTAAAGCATGACTTAGCTTTAGACAGAACGTCTGGTCGGCGGCGTATGGCGTTATCTGGTCGGCGTTGACGAAATTGCCCGGCCCTCGAGCTTTCCGAACTATCGTCATGGCGGTGGTCGCGGTTGTCACGGCGCCATTCTTCACGACGATTATCATTGAGACGCGGCAGGTGGTCGGAGTAAGTAGTCCGGGCGACGTTGTCCTTATATTAGTGGTCGGTGACGTGGACAGCTCGCTTAATAGCTGGCTTGGTGGCTTGACGGCTCCATGTGTGCGTGAGCACATGCAAGTTGTGCCGCAGCAATCTATAGTTGGCCTTCCTTCCATGTAGACGTATATATGTAAGCACATACAACTAGCTTTGCATGGCTCTAGTGATTGGCATGCAGCGAATCGATCTTAGTAGATGGACTGGAATCTTGGGACCACAGAGCGGCGATCTGAGCTTCGCCTCGATTCACGTGCAACAGTAGCCGGCAAAATAATTTGTCGCTGCCTTCGGTACAGGTACAGCACCGCGTTTGATTATCTGATCCGATCCGGTGGCTCCGTTGGAACTTGTCGTCGAGAGAGACGCCGAGTAGCCGATGCACAGAACAGAAAGCTCCGAGTAGTAGACTGGTCCTTGAACACGACGTTGAATCCGACATCGAGTCTCGTCAGGTTGTCGGCGGATGCCATCGTAGCAGACCGAGTTGCCGGCGTAGCAGATTGATTCCGTCGCCGAGTGATATCGAGCCTGTTAGGCTATTGAAGTGCGCCGCCGCAGGAAGTCAAGTTGCCACGAGCGGCGTCGATCTTGAGATCCCATCTAGTTCGTCATGGATCAGCACGCACAGCCCCTACCTGGCGCGTCAACTATCGACAGAATATCATCGACAATCCTCCGAGGGGTATCCTACGAAGGTAGATTGATCGGCAGAGAGGCGTGTAATCAAGAACAAGAAGGCAACAGAGACACACGAGTTAGACAGGTTCAGGCCGTC